CAAAGGTGGGTGCACCCTTGACAGACAGAGGACGGGCAGTACAAAGACAAGAGCGGCAGCGTATTCAAGGCGGTAGCTAGTAGCAAAGTCAGCGACAGCAGCGACAAGCACAGAGACAGACTCAAGAGGAGCAATAGGGTCAGTGACAAGCGACGCAAGCAAGCACGAGAGGACTGGACCAGCATTGCAAGCAGAGTCAGAGGGAGGAGCAGGAGATGACGGGAGCGATGACTGGGGAGGCAACGTAAGGACTAGGACTAGAGGAGCATGCGAACAAAGGACCGTAGGGTGGACACTAGGACGAGGAGAGATAGGACGGGCACGAGCGGGACGACGGACCCAGTGATGAAGAACAGGTGACTGAAGACGAGGGCGGAAGGGAGACAAGTCAGGAGACGGAGGAGAATGGGGGGGGAAATGAGCCAGAGAGGAGTCTGGTGGAGGGAACAGCGGACCGTACACATGGTTAGACAAATCTGAGAGATGACCAAGGAGACGAAGGGCAAACTACAGCTGCTCCTGCTGCTGCGGCTGCTGCTGCTGCTGCTACGGCTGCGGCTGGTTCTGCTGCTGCTGCTGCTACTCCATGTCCTCTCCAAGACCTCCAGCTGCACCTCGACTACCACCGGCACTCCCCGAAACATCACCCCCGGGCGCACCAAAGAAACACCCCTTGAGTTAGCACCACCAGAACTCGCACCCCCACGGTCAGCTCTCCCAACACCAACGCTGCCAACACTAGCTACCCCAACACCAATACGCCCAACACTAGCACCCCCATAACTAGCACCCCCAAACCCCACTGCTCCCTGCTGCTGCAGCCGCTGAGCCTGCGGCGGTGACTGCTGCTGCTGCCGAGGCAAGGGGGGAGGCGGCTGAGGTGCCTGGGGTACCGAGGCTGGGGGAGGCGCCACAGGGACAGCAGGCGCGCCCCGAGCAGCTGGGCCCCCAGAGTCAGCCGACTCTCCCACAGGTCTAAGCGAGGGGAAATGAGTGGCATGGGAGACAACAGATTGGGCCGGGTGGGATGGGAGGGGTGCAGCAGGCGTGGAACGGACGAGGAAGAGATGAGCAGGAGGCACAAGAGTGATGCGATGCAGGGAGCACCGGTAGTAGGGGAGCGTTTCGTCAAAGGTGAAGTTACAAGAGTGGTAAAAGTGGTGGTATGACAAGTGGTAGAACAACCAGCCATGGGCGTCAAGCGGAAACCCCAGGAAGACACAAGGAAGGGTGCGGGCTGAGACCTTGTCCGCCCGAGTGACGCGGACGCGAGCAAGGCTGCCCCAGACGTGGAACGCCGACGCGTCACTAGGAGAATCGGTCTAGAGAATGGTTGGCGAAACTTGTGGCCACTGTGAGCGCGGCGATAGGTCAAGCTAGTGAGCAGCATAGCGCATGACGAACGGCCACAGAAAATGGGGTGCATCGGCGTGGACCATGGAGGTGCAGGCTACCTTCATGACCAAGCCGATGCGTCGCTCAGCAACCCTATTTTGCAGTGGGGGGTCCGATATTGTGTACGTCTGGTGGATGCCCTTTGCATGACAAAACGGTCCTAGACTGCTAGATGCGAACTCGCCATCACGGTCATAGTGTAAGCGACCTACCGACAGGCGTTGGTGGGTGCGAACAACAAGAAGCCACAAAAGGAGAACGGTAGGCACGCCGGCCTTCCGCTCCAATGGGAACACTGTGGTGAACCTCGAAAAGTCGTCAACGACGACGAGGAATTAGCGCTCCCGACTTAGACCATGGATCGGGGCGGGGCCCCAGACGTCCATGTGCAGTGTCTGTAGCAGCACTGTGGAAGGAGGAAACGAGGAGGAGTGAGGGGCGGCATGCTGGCGATCCTTGACGCAGGATGTGCACAGTGGCACTACCGACGGAGGCAGGGCAGGGAGCGACACTGGGAGACCAGTGAGTAGACCATGCTAGGACATGTGCATAAGATGCGGGAGTGTAGGGTGACCTAAGCGGTGGTGCGACAAGAGGGTTCGGTGGGCGAGGGAGCGACAGGAGCAGGACGCGGCTACCTCAACAGATACAGCAGCCAGCTCAAAAGTGGTTAGGTGGCGACTAGTGGCTGTGTCAGTTCAAGCTACGTGTTTCTCGCGGCCACAAAACGTGGTGGTGACTCCTCGGTCCTGGAGGTGACCGACACCCACCAGGTTCCTGGCAAACGAGGGGATGTGCAGGCCGAGGAGGGAGCCAGAGGGGACATCTAGACAGGGGAGAGTGGTGGTGCTACGTGCGACAGTTGTGGCGGAGGAGTCTGCTAGTGCGATGGTGCCACAGCAGCGACGTGTGAGTGAGAGACCGACATGAGCAAGCCGCGGCGACCTGGGTAGACGCAGCCACCTGGTGGGACGCCCCCACCAAGGGGGACGTGGTGTCTTGCATGAACAGTCCAAACACCGGGTCCCAGGGGAATGTGGTGAGGGGGGCACGAGTGGCGGCCTCAGTACAGACCGCATACCGCTCGTGCCCAGGAAACGTAGTGGTGACGCCGAGGTCCTGAAGACAGTCAACATTCACTAAGTTTCTGGAAAACGAGGCGAGGTGCACACCTGTGAGAGAATCTGAGGGAGCTGCCGGACAAGGAAGGGTAGTGGAGCTACGAGCAACGACCGAACCTTTGGAGGGGTCAGCAAGCACTACAGCGGCAGGGGCAGCAAGCGGCAAGAGCGTAGTGCGGTCGTGAAAGAAGTAGGTAGACGCACCAGAGTCCAGCGTGACGGAGAGTGCGGTGATAGTATCAGCCTTCAAGGACACTAGCTTGGAGCCTAGGCTAAAAAGGCACAACTGGAGATCCTACGCCTGAAGCAGCAGGGGAGCCTACACTACGCACAGTGGACAAACCTACACCAGGCAACACATGGTAATAGGGTCCAGTGGCACTAGAGCTAATACCAAACAGCATACATGGCATACAAAGTAGAGCTAATCTGATCCATATCCATCTCAAAGACCGGCACATGTCGACGTACCACACTGTTCCAGTTGGGGAGGTCCGGCGCAGGGCCGAAGTGGAGACGGAAGAGATCGTCGAGGCGGAGGAAGCAGCAAGCGGCGGTGTGTCCGGGACGGTCGCAAACTGTGCCACGGCGGGGGCTGGTCTGGAGCTAGTACTGGCAAGTCACTGCATTGGAGCCGCCATCTGACGCCGAGCTTCACGCCGCCGTCGCGACCACCACCACCAAAGATGCCAGGCCACCACGGTGGCGGTAGTCCCGCCAGTTGCTGCTTTCAGTGCTGGGGCTGCTGCTGCTACTGCGGCTGCAGCTGCTGCTGTGTTGGGGCATCAGCCTTGGTCCCCTCATCTGCACCACCAGCACTCGCACCACCTCCGCCACCCCCGCCACGCCCCCCCTTGGGGCGGCGGCTGCGACCCGAATGAGGCTGTTGCAGCGGTCGCAGCAGAAGGGGCTGTCTCAGCGACAGTGGCAGACACGTCAAAGTAAGTGCATTGGGAGGGAGCATAGCTTTGGAAGATAAGGACCGCTTGACTAAGCGATAGCGTGCTGGCGAGTCTCTATCGCATACAGGGTGGCAACCAACTCGGTAAGGGTGACGTCAGCAGGGTGGAGGCCTAGGAAGTGGTCGTGGGCAGTGGCTAGGCGGTCGGGGAGGCGCGTGGCAACAAAGTAGAGGGTCGCGCCAATGGGGGAGGCAATACAGTGTGCTGGGCCTCAATGCTAGTAGTGCGGTAGCTAGCCTCAAGCGCGTGCAGGTGAGTGGCCAGTTCAGTGACAGTAGCATGCAATGACAGCATCTAAGAATTCCTGCGCAGTCGCTCGGTCTGAAAGCGGAGATGCTCGGACAGGGGGAGGGCGTGACTGATAACAACCTGCGCAACTGCACCGCGCGACTCCCAGACAGAGTGGCCGAGCTCAGCAGCTGCAAAGGCCTGTTGCTCAATAGGCGAGGGGGCGTTAGAGAGAGCAGCAGGCGGGTCGGGGCAGGGGACCTTACCGTCGACATGGACGGCCAGGGACCGGCCATCCTGGCACTGACCCCTCAGCGAGTGCCAGAGGTCGACGAGCCATGCCTCAAAGTCGATCGCCCCGACCCTCCCCGTCCAGGCGGAGCAATGTGTCCGCCATCACCATGACCGCAGCGGCTGACGGCAACACGGCTGCACTATGGCGCTGCAGCATGGCGGCACAGCGGCACAGCGACCCAGTGGCACAACGGCACGGCGACATGACGGCACGGCGGCACGGCGACACGGCGGCCCAATGACACGGCAGTACAGCGAGCTGGGGCGGCAGGACTTGGGGCCGGCAGGACCAGGGCCGGCTTGAACGGGGGTTGGCTCGAACGGGGACCGGCTCGGACTAGGGCCGACCCGAACAAGGGCCGGCTCTAATGGGAGGCGGCTCAAATTGGGGGCCGGCGCGAACTGGGGCTAGCAAGCTGGGGCCAGCGAGCTAGGGGCTGGCGAGCGCGGGGCCGGCAAACGAGAGGTCGGCTAGCGAGGGGTCGGCAAGCGCGAGGCAGGCGAGCCCAGGGCCGGTGAGCACAGGGCCAGCAAGCGAGGGGCCGGTGAGCACGGGGCCGGCGAACGCGGGGCTAGTGAGCATGGGGCCAGCAAGCATGTGGCCGGTGAGCGCGGGTCTAGCAAGCATGGGGCCGGCGAGTGCGGGGCCAGCGAGCGTGGGGCCGGCGAGCGCGGGGCCAGCGAGGGCGGGGCCAGCGAGCGCAAGGCCGGCGAGCGCAGGGCCAGCAAGCGAGGAGCCGGCAAGTGCGGGGCCAGCGAGCGCGGGGCCAGCGAGCGAGGGGCCGACGAACACAGGTCCGGTGAGCTAGGGCGGCTAGGGCGGGTTGGGTCGGCTAGGGCGGAAGCACGGTTGGGCGGACCTAACCTAGCTGATACCATCTCAGAGTAACTGAATGACTAGAATGAAGGCATACAAGGGAATACATGGTTGGGTGTTGTACTCTCTAAGTGCACGAACCCTTCTAGCCTATAACTGCGACATATGCAGATATGTATGAGTTGACAAAGAGACCCACTTGGGTCACCCTAGAAGATCCTCGGAAGGGCCACAGGCTGCTATGCTTGGGGTGCTCCCAGTTGCTGGGTTTCGCACCTAGGGATTTCGTGAGTCTGGTTGTTGGTTATGCTCTCCTATTCCCAGTTCGTTGTTGTGTCTTGCTGTTCTGGGGAGTCTTTCCAGCCCAACTGTTCTGAGGTTGCGGTAGGCCCAGGCAGAGACTTCCCAGTAGGAGGGTGCGCCAATCTCGACTCTTGGTTAGAGATTCTGGCATGGTTGTTCTGACTGTTCTGCTGTTGTCTCTGCTGTTGCTGCTTCTGTCATTGCTTCCGCCGCTTCTGCTCCTTCTGCTACTGCTGCTGCTGCTGCTGCCTTTGCTACTGCTACCTCTGCTGCTGCTTCTGCTGTTGCTGCTGCTTCTGCTGTTGCTGCTGCTGCTCAAGTTTAAGCTGCCTTGCGGGCTGTTGATGCTGCGATCATTGATATTGTTGTTGCTTCTTCCACTTCTGGTGACATAGGGCCGGTTCTTGCGGCGATTTCTGTTAGGGAGTGTGCCCAAGCGTCCATTTCTAAGGAGAGGTTTGTAGCTTGGTCAGCCGCTTCCTATGGCATGGGCTCTCTCCACTTGGGATTGAAGGCCATGTGTGTGGCCAGTTCCCACGGGTTTGCTCGTCCAGTGTCATCGAATGATCCTGGTCCCACCTAGATCAGGATGTTGTCCAAGCGGTGTATGGCTGTGTGGGGTGGGTTCACCGTTCCTAGTGGAGGAACTATGGTGACGGTTGCAGCGAGTTCCGGGACAGTCATACCGACATGTGGAGTGCGAAGTGATTCCTTTTCTCCTTCATCAAGAGTTTCAATTCCGATTCTAGCTATGTTGTTGATGGAGGTTGTCGGGGTTCGACAGGTACGGCAGCTGACGTCTAGTCTGGGATCGTGCAGGTCAATTTCGGCTGGATGGATGTGGTGCGTAACCCATGGGCTACCGTCAGGATGTGTCCAGTCCTTCTTGCCCTTCCATGCAAAATCAAGAGGAACGAGGTTGATCAGTTCGTGCATGTCGCTGCTGCAGTCAGGTATGTCGAAGTCTAGGATGTAGACTCCGTCGACTGCTTGTGCCCTTCCGATGAACCGCAGCTGGTTCAGAAAGTGATGTGAGTACTGGAGTTTTGGGCTTGGAGAACCACGATCCCTTGATGCTTGGCCTCCAAGCGCTCGCTATTAACAACAGTCACGTAAGCAGTTGCGGGGGTCGGAACGACGTTAGAGATGTAACGTTCCGAGCTGACCAAGTATTGGCTGCAACAGCTGCCCAGGTACCATGCGTTGTAGTTTCTTTTGTTGTTGCATGCGATCATTGCGATCCTTGAGGTGAGAAGGTATGGTCTGTTTTTGTTGTGCAGTGGACTGTTCATGGGGAAGGAGGCAAACTGCTGCTGGTCGCCTCTGAAGGTCAAGTCGGGGATATACGGAGTTGGCTCTAGCAGAGGAATGGGTAGGTGCCATTCTTGTTCTTCCTCATCATATTAGAAGTCTCCATCTTCGGTGTAAGGGTTGTAGTCGGAGGGAAGCACGTTCAAGGCAAAATCGTCTTGGATTGTTTGTGGCGGTTTGCTCTCCGTATGGGTGCAGGTATTCGCATCGCCATACAGACTTGGCAGTGGTTTGCTTGACCATGTGTGCCTGGCTAAGTTAGATGAGGGTCCGGTGGTGCAAGAGGGCACGGGGCTGGTCGCTCATCCGTATGGGATGGGTGACTGGTCTGGCACGGGTCCTGTCGGAGAGGTTCGATGGGTCTCCTCTGATGCGAGTTAGCCTATTGACCGCCATTTCTGGTAGGCGTAAATGATGGGCATGCGCTACTTTCTGCTCGGCTCTTGCAGTGCTCAGTAAAGTGTCCGAAGGTTTTGCAGTGTTTGCAAAAGTAGTGGCGACTGTGCTAGTCACGGCAAGGCTCCCTCTGGCCAGAGTAGAAGGCGAGCCTTTCTTTGCGCGGGGCTTTCTCTTTGTAGGGATCCATGTCTTGTTGCTCAGCCAGCAGTGTCTCGCAAAGTGTCACTTCGTAAATTTTGCCCTGTTGGCACAGCAGAGCCTTGCAGGGTCACCATTCAGGGGTGAGTCCACCGAGTAGGATAATCATGACTATGTCCTCGGTTATTGTATGCCCGAGTTTGACGATCTAGTCGCGGATGCTTTGGCAGTGGTTGATGTAGTTGTTGGCCTTCTCTCCAAATACTATTAACTTTAAGTAGCTGGCCGAGTAGTCAACTTGACAACATGGAGTCCTTCGGCTGGTATAGATTTGTCAGGTACAGCCAAAAATCTCGTGCCGGAGCGGCGCATGTCTTGAACCACCAGATTCCAAGTTGCTTGGAAGGGGATGGGTTTTGTTGGAGTATGCTGTACTCCATGAGCGATTCATTGTAGTATTGTTGTTTTGCGTCTTCGATGTCGATCGTTGATCCGCGGTAGGAGTCCTCGAGGTCCTTCTCTCACATGCAAAACGATACACTTTTGAGTAGTAACAAATAAGTTGTACGTTGTTGGCATTGGCAAAGAGATCGTTTGTGTCAGGGTCGAGGAGACGAAACCATGGTGGTTTTAGAGAGTAGTCGGCATGATCTTGCAGCTTTGAGAATGCATCGGCGTAAGAGTTCAACGACCTAGGAATCCATTCGATGGCGATGGGGGGTTCAGTGTTGCGCGTAGAAATATATTAATGTTTGACATGGAAGAGTGGGTTCTGAGCAACATGATCCACCTTTGCGTTAGATGAGAAACACCCCTTGATTATCCACATGGGCGAGGAGGTTTTCGCTTTGCAAGTGAGGTTTGAATGACCAGAGTGCCCATAGCATGCCTTCTAGCTCGTGACGTGTGATTGAGGTCTCGCGCATTTGTATCGGCATGTTGGCTGTGGCCTCGAGCATCTTGCTCGGGAATGGCGTAAGTGTTGCTCCACAACTGTATAATAAACCATTATTTTACGTGAAACGAGACCACGTTGAGATTTTCAAACTCTTTGCGTCAGTGAGAGCACAACCCGTGCATGCCATAACAGTGCATCGTTGATGGTCTGGAGCAGTGCATGGCTGAACGCTCTTATGGTCGCCCCTAATTATATCCCGCCTCTTTCGAGGGCGGATATTTTAGCTTCCAACTGTGTGCATCGCTCTGCTCCCATAAGAAAGGTACAAGTAGTTGTGTCCAATTCCAGGCCCAAAAACTTGAATTGTTGGGTCGGATTGAGCTGCGACTTTTTTTTCTTAATATTGGTATGGCTCGTGGTTTGCAAGTCATGTACAACTTCTCGTACGAGGTTTTATGGACAACACTGCGAATATGTTGTTTGGGGTTTCGAGTTTATCGTCACTTTTCTTATTCTTGGTACTTTTGCTACTCATGGTACCTCTGGTACTCTTGGCACTCTTGGTACTCATGGCTCACTTGATACTTTTAGTAGTCTTGGCACTCTCGGTACTCTTAACACTCTTGGAACTCTTAGCACTTTTGGTTCGCTTCGTACTTTTGGTACTCTTGGCACTCCTTGGTCTTTTGGTACGCTTGGTAATCCTGGCACTCTAGGTACTCTTGGTACCCTTGGCACTCTTGGCACTCTTATTTCTCTCTAAGTTCTCTTCATACTCCTCGCACTCTTGATACTGTTGGCACTTGTGGTTCTCTTGGAACTCTCGGTACACATGGCAGTTTTGGTGCTCTTAGCACTCTTCGGACTCTTGGTACCCTTGGCAGTTTTAGCACTCCTAGTACTTTTCTTGTTCTTGGTACTCTTGCTACTCTTTGTACCCTTGGTACAATTGGCACGCTTAGTCGTCTTGGCACTCTTCATAATCTTAGCACTCTTCTTACTCTTGGCAATCCTCGCACATTTGGTTCGTTTAGTAGTCGTGACATTCTAGGTAATCTTAACACTCTTGGTAGTCTTAGCACTTTTGGTATGCTTCGTACTTTTGGTACTCCAAGTAATATTGGTACTCTAGGTACTTTTGGCACTTTTGGCATGCTTGGTAGGCTTGGCAACCCTAGTGCTCTTAGTATTCTTGGTACTCTTGGTACTCTTGGCACACTAGGTACTCTTGGCACTCTTTGTGCTCTTGGCCCTCTTGGTACTCTTCACACTCTTGGTACTCTTGGCACTCTTTGCAGCCTTGGCACCCTTAGCACTATTTGCACTCTTGGTTCTCTTCATTCTCTTGATACTCTTGGCGCTCTTGGAACTCTTGGTAATCTTGGTACTCTTAGTACTATTGGCAATCTTGGCACTCTTCGTACTCTTTGCACTCGCAAAACTCTTGGACTTTTAGCACTTTTGGCAATCTTGGTAATCTTGGAACTCATTGCACTCTTAGCACTTTTAATATAGCACTTTTGGTACCGTTAACACATTCGGCATGCTTGGTACTCCTGGGATTCTTGGTGCTTTCGGAACTTTTGGTATACTTGGAAGTTTTTGTATTTTTGGCACTCTTAGTACTCTAAGCATTCTTGGCACTCTTGGCAATCTTGGTACTCTTGGTGTCGAGTGAACCACTGGGTTTTCCCTAGAGATCCTTGGGGAAGGGCTACAGGCCTCTATGCCTAGGGGGCTATGGGCGCACTTACCCACTACTTAACAAGCTCTTTTAGCGCAATGTTTAGTGACTGAGTTCTGACATGGTATCAGAGCCAAAGGTCTTGGGTTCAAATCAAAACGTGCACCACCTCGGGTGCCGATGGCCTCCACCTACCCCAGTGAGGGGGGGTGTCGAGTGAACCACTGGGGTTGCCTTAGAGATCCTCGGGGAAGGGCTTCAGGCCTCCATTCCTGCGGGGTTATGGGCGCACTTACTCGCTACTTAACCAACCCCTTTAGCTTACTCACTCTTGGCACAATCATTACTCTTAGCACTCCTAAATGGCTTAGAGCACAGTCCTTGCACACTTATATCCGTTATTTTATTATTAACGCACCCTATTTCCTATAAGCGCATCATACCGCTGTTTCCTGTCACCCCTCTTACAGCTCTCCCAAGCACCTCGCGAGACAGTTGTGCTATCCTGTAGCTTCAATTTGATTGGCTCGATTCCAACAAGAAATTGCTAGAGGGACATTCGAGAGCTGATTCTGTCAAACATGTCTTTGTATGTTATTATAGACTACACAAGGTTGTGCCTTAGAGAGTACAGCCCACTAGGTTATATTACCTTGTATGCCATAGTTCTATTTGTTTGTTAACTTCAATATGGTATCATGAATAGGTTAGGTCCCCCCTGCCCACTAGCGCTTCCGCCATAGGTCTTAGCCACCCCGTTGCCCTCCCGCCTGTGTTGGCCCGTCCCCTAGTGGTCCCTGTCGCCTAACCGGCCCCGTCGCCCAGCCAGCCCCGTAGCCCAGCCGGCCCCGCCTCCTAGCCGACCTCGTCGCCTAGTCGGCTCCGTCACCCAGCCGGCCCCAACACCTAGCCAGCCCCGTAGCCCAGCCGGCCCTGCCTCCTAGCCGGGGCTGTCGCCTAGCCGACCGCGTCGCCTAGCCGGCCCCGTTGCCTAGCCGGCCCCGTCGCCCAGCTGGCCC